GAAGGTATTCTAGCCGAATATTCAGCCACGTCAGATTATTTTTTTAAAACATAACTCCTATCTCTTCCCTTCTCTCTCCTCTAATTCTCTATTTTTCTTTTGTATTCAATTTTATCTTTGATTTTGGTTTTGTCTCTCTTTTTGATTTCGCAAAATTGAAGATAAAATAAAACAAAATTAAATTTCTTCATGTTTTGCAAATACAGAAGCACAAAACAAAAACAGAACAAAAAAGTAAAAGAAAATAAAAGCTACAACTGTTGTTTCTCTTCTTCAGATTTTGTATCATAAAAATCAAATAGAAACTTTGAGAAGATTCATCGTTTCTCTTTTGTGGGTTAATGTTTATTTATTTATTTATTTTTTATTTCATAAGAGATTAATGTGTTTTGTAATAGCAACTCTTGTGTGGATATTTACTTACCAAAAAAAAAAAATCTTTTGTTTCATCTGGAATTGGAAAGATTTATTCTTGGAAGATTTATGAATAGAGAAAAGTAGGTGATCTTGAAAAATGGGCGAGAATAAAGAATTTTGGAGGATAGAGAAACGAATAGGAAGAGAGAAAAAAGATAAATTGGGAGAGTAAAGATCGATGATAAGGACTTAGGTGATGAAATTATTTGACGTGGACAAAGTCACGTAAGATTCAGTATTTATTTCGGTAGAAACATTCGGTTTCTCTATCATCGCTCAAAATTAAATTGGGTATTGCCTAATTTTTACTTTTGGACATGTGTTTTAAATCTTAACTTTTGTTTATAGACACTTATTTTAAATCTATTGAACCACATCAGCAGGTTGGATGAAGTTGGATCCAAGCATTGCTCTACGATTTTATGGTATGTGTTTTGGATAACATTATAATAAAATAAAATAAAAATAATAAAGTACTTAATTACTCTCACGGTCAATTGAATTTAAAATGGAGTTGGACCTCACTAGCCTTTCTATTTGAACAAAATACTTAAATTCCGAGAGTAAAATACTTTAATTTTTGAACTAGTATCGATTTGGACAATCTAAACACCGATACTAATTATCTAAGAAAATTATGTAGACCTGCAAATAATATATGTATATATGGCCAGTTAATAATTGGATTATGTTGGTCAACTAAATTTAAAGCACCTTGTGATTCTGATGGACCAAAGAATAATTAAATTCCGAGAATAAAATGCTCTACTTTTTAAACATGGATGATTAGCATTTTCCATCATTGTTACACACACACACACACACATATATATATATACACACAAGATAGCAAACACAGGTAGCATCCCATCACAACTTCATAATCCCTTTCTTTTCTCTCCCCGAGATGGTTTTCTTTAACAACTGTCCAATGTTGTTTGCATTGTTCACTATTATCATATGGAATGGGCTTGTCTTCTCTGCTCCCCTTGATCAAAGCATAGATAGTTTTCTTTCTCCGAAAGTTACAGTTACCATTTCCAACAACCTCGCACAAGGGATTAATTTAAACCTCCATTGTAAATCAAAGGACGATGACCTTGGCCTTCACGTGCTGCCTTTCGGAAACTCCTATCAATGGGGATTCCACCTGAATATTTGGGGAACTACACTTTTTTTTTGCAGGATGTCATGGCAAAATGTGGAGGGGAGTTTCGACGTGTTCGATGCTAAAAGGAATGGACGTCTTTGCAGAAAGTGTGCTTGGTCCGTGGAAAAAGATGGATTGCATGCATACTATAAAGGTGGTTACCAGAGATTTTTACCGTGGCCGGGGTCAAACACCAACAATACCAGAGACTGATGATGATGAGAATAAGCATTGAAGCTAGTACTCCAACTTCTTATAATGAAAGAAAATTTTTAATAGCTAGAGTAATTCTATATTGTTCATCTTAATTAATAAACTACAATAATGGCTTCAATTCATTCATCTACAAATTATTATTATTATTTTTTTGGTCGGTTGTTGTTGTTGTTTTAGTTCCTGTATGATCACAATTTCAACCCCTCTCTCTCTCTCTGAATCTCTCTCTCTCTCTATATATAGATTTCTTAATATCCTTAAAGCTATGTTCAATTCCTCAATTCCATGTAACCTCACATAACATAAAAAATCCTTTATGATTTGTTAATGAATTAATTTAACACAATTCTTGATATTCACTTTGTAAACCCAATTTCTCTTATAAACTCTAACTCTGCTTTCGTGTATTACTCTCTTTTTTTTCTTTTCTTTTCTTTTTTTCTATGGTCTTGTTATAGTAATGGATGCCACATATTAGATGTACATTCTTAGTATTATAAGTATTTAAGAAATATACAGATACTGTATTATCTTTTTTTAAATTACTAAGTTATCATTTTATGTTTAAGTATGTATAAATTATGTATCCTACTAAGTTGTAAGATTTTTGAAAGCTTAAGAAATTGTGTTTTAAATGCCTTTTATAAAAGGAAAAGTGAACTACTAGATAAAGGTAGTACAAGGAAACTATAAGTGGAAATTTTAAAAGATTTTGGAATCAAAATTCTAAATTTTTAATACAAAATTATCATTAATATCTATAAATAATTATCTTTAATAGATTTTTGAGAGGATCAATTTTAATTTTTCTATACAAAATTACCATAATAACTATATATAATTACTATTAACTCCTTCCCTCAAATTACCATTAATAATTATAAATAATTACTATTAACTCCTTCCATCGCTCCTCACGAGAAATTAAGTAGTATCTCAGGGGTAATGGTCACTATCATCCTAATCACAAATGCATCTGTATTGTAATGACCTCCTCTACTACATGGTATGATATTTTTCACTTTGGACCTGAGCCCGCACGGTTTTGCTCTTGGTTTCACCCCAAAATGCCTCATACCAATTGGAGATGACATACTTACATATAAACACTTCACCTTTCTTCTACCCAGGTGATGTGGGACTGTACACTTGTAGCTCGTCAATGTGGCAGCCTGTCAATGTGGTAGCCTGTCAGTATCTCTCGCACCCGCCCACGACACACCCACCCACAAGGTCATCACATACATCATCCTTATAATATATTGTATATAATCTATTTTTTACATTTATTTTAAATAATATATTTTTTACATTAATTTTACAAAATTATTTAATCTACAATATAGATTATTTGGTAGATTATTTACATTTATTATTATTTTTTTTTTCAAATTCTACTCTACGAGGTGTCAATAGTCAAGACTGTCCGTGTTTCACACCTGATCACTCCTCAAGGTGTTTTTGTCCCCAACTTCAATTATAAACTTCAAGCAAAAGAAGGCCTTTTGCGTACTAAATTCATACCCAAAAATAAATAAATACAAATAAAATAAAAAAATCCAACCCCTAGTAATACCGTAACAAAGTGATGACATATATGGTTATAAATGGGATAACAGATGCTAAAATGCAATTCCATGTGAAGTTGTGTCACGGAAATGCACTTCGGGGTGCAGAAAGAAATGTTAGAATAGAAGAACCGATCTAAATCGAATTGAATTGGTTTTTCGGTTCTGATTCTTCTAACTATTCCAATTTTAAAATTGAAAAATTTTTAAATTTTGGTTCGGTTTAGATTAGTAGATACATGGTAGAACACTCCAAAGTTCACGAAACAACTACATTAAAATTACAATTCACAACTATAATTTCATTATAATACATTATATTATAATTACAATTAGTCAGTATATTTATTATATTCCAATTTACAATTTGAGATCACCACATTTGTTGTTTTGGTATGCCAGAGGCAGTGCAAATTTTTTTTTTTTTTTTGGAGAATGGTTAAGCAAAAAATATATATATAACAAATTTACAAGGCCAGATTGGCCCAAGCAGCCCAAAGAGTACAGTTCTACCAAAACAAGGCCCACGGCATGAACAGAAACATATGACAATCCAAAAAAATCTCATCCTACCATGTATATATGATTATTTAGACACTCAATCAATATATACATGTGAGTCACTCATAGTAGATCTGTTAAAATTGGCAAATGCATCTACATCATCCTAGTCACCACTAAGACTAGTAGGTGCAGGTGAACAGCACATATTATCACTCCTAATAAAAATCTAACAAATCATCTCGTAGAGAGCAATTTTTATTAGATGATCGATGGGATTGTATATTCAATGAATGTATGATGAATTTTTTTTGGCTGAATATTAATGACATGGCACGTCGGGCTAACCTAATGTCTTATCTAACAAGATAATGGATAAGTTATTTACATGTACATGTTCAACTTATAGACTCCACCTAGACATTTTTTTTTTTTTTTTTGGGTCGTGTACACACCCACACACACACATATATATATATTTATTACAGGAAAAGGAAAATATTTTAATTGAACTCTTTTTTTCTTTTTTTCCCCCAAAAGGTAACTCTAATTGAACTTCACACACTGATAAAATTACACATATATATTCATTAATATAAAATACAAATTAAAGGCTAAGTTTTTTTATTTTTTATTTTGAAATTTAGAAATGACACTTATCATTTTATTTTATTTTTTGAACGGTAACACTTACTTTTGATTCTACTGGGCTCCTTAATGAATTTCGTAAAAAAACTGATGAACCTCACTTTTGATTCTGTTTGACAAAGTAATTATAAAATCCAAAGAGTAAAAATGCTATGCTTTTTAAAGAAAGATGATCACATATTATATTACATAACATCATCATGTTCCATCATTTTTACATATATCAGATTGCAAACACAACAACATCTCATCACAATTTTAAAATTGCTGTCTTTCTTTTTTTTTTTGAAAAGTAAGATGCGAATAGATTAAATGACGAAATGATACAGGATTGACAAGTTAGCCACGGCTAACCCGAAACCAAAACAAGGCTCAAGAGAAGCCACAAGGCCCAAAAGCAAATAAGAACTAACTCAGCCCACAGGCAACAAGAACAGTTGTAATCAAACACATTCATACAAAGATGATAGCAGTGGAGGAACATCTCCTTGTGAAGGATCTCAATCTGGAGGCTCTGGTGGTGGCCTTAGAACGCAGGATGGAAGATCCCATTCCACAGTAAGCCGTCTGGTGTGGATTGATTCAGTAAATGTTGAGGACATGAGCTTCAATCGAACAGGTTCTAATGTCATATGAAGTAGTGAATTAGCTGATAGCCTCTTCTTCTTGAAAAGCCTCTTGTTTCGTTCAGTCCACACATTATAAACCAGAGAAGAGAGAGCAAATTTGGATACAGAATTACACTGAGCTTGATTGTTGCCTCGCCAGTGATGAGCAGCCCAATGTACTAATTCAGACCAATTTGAGGGCAAGATGTAGAACCCACAACGTGCTTGCAGAAAGTTCCACAAGGGTTTAACATAGGGACAGCTGAAGAAGAGATGGTTGTGTGATTCCATGTCATTGTTGCATAAGAGGCAAATGGTGGTATTAAGGTAGGCTACACATCTTCTATTGAGAGTTGGCAGGCGATTCTGGATTGCAACCCAAAGTGTAAATGAATGTTTAGGAATTGAGAGCTTGGACCAAACCAGATGAGACCAGAGCTGACAAGGCAAGTTCTGATTGATGGTTTTAAGTGTAGAAGCAATTGTGAATTTCCCATTTGGTGAAGGTGTTGGGATTTATATGCCCTGGCATAGCAAATTCCTATCTGGATTATAGTGACATATGTTCCTGACATATCTGAAATATTTATGATTTATATAATTGGTGAATTCAATGTATTATGTTTCGATTCACTATGAAATTGATAGTGTCCCTGTGATTACGAGAAATATTTATATATATGTATGTGATGGCAATCAATGTATGATATATAAATAGTAATTATAAATTGTTCATAGTCGGTAATTATGGATAGACTCATAATTAATTAAGACTTGAATTGGATCCGCGTTAGGTTGAGATATATTGCGAGAGCCGTCGTATGCAATTGCTTCCTATCACCGTCATAGCATTTGACTCTTAAGCACGAGAAAATTATAGACTCTTGTATTAATTAATAATTACTTTGATTTGTTCGACGGATTTTTCGGGATCCTTAGACCGACACTTTGGGTAGTTATGTAATTAATAGTTAGAGGGTTATATTTTCAATATTTGCATCATTGCTACTTGTATTTATTTTGTATTGATTATGGTTGATCACAAAGTAAATTCGAAGGCCTTCGAATGTTTTTAGACAAAATGATTTATTATATATTTATTTATTTAAATTATTATTTTTTTGTCAAACAAATGTTTTATTGTGATCAAGCCAGAAATAATCAAAGGTACCAAAATAAATATATTAATTAAGTAGTCGGATTGATGGCATTATTTATCCGATAACTAATTATGCATAGAGGGGTCAAAGTGCAACATTGACTTAGAGGTTATTTATTATTTAATTGGAGTTCAACTAATTTCTTTTAGTGGAGTAGAAATTAATTTATGAATTAATTTAATTGGGTCCATGGACTAGGCCAATTATTAATTCATTGTAGCCAATAAAAATAATAAGCCCAAAGGATTCTCACTCATAGCCCAACTTGATATTGGAATCATATTAGATTTGAGATATCGGAATTAAAGATTGAGAACGATTTATAGTTTCCTTTTCCTTATCTTTATGTTGCCTATATATATACATGGTCTATGTATATTTTGGGGGGTAATTTTTATGAGAAGGAAAAAGGAATAAATTTTCTCTCTCTAGAAAATTAGGGTTAGTGTTCTCATCTAATGGAGGCTCCCACAAGCCTAGTTTTCCAAGGTCATTCATGGAGGCTTATGAGTGATTCCTAAAGGCAAGACCATTACCAAGAAGATGGAGATCCATGGAAAAGGTGTCTAGCAAAAGGTATCTACAATAAGTGAGAACATTCACTTTAAAGGAGAGATATAAGGTTTTCTCAAACCTTGATGTAAGTATTCAATCTTTTATTGAATGGGACATCATATTTTATTTTTGTATAAAACTTGTCTCTATGTAATGAATCAAGATCTATGAATCAAAATCCCTCAAAAAGTTTTTAAAACTAGCACGTTTTCCAACAGTGGTATCAGAGTATGGTTTGATTCATTACTAGAGATCATATTTTTATCAAAATTCATCATTCATGGATCCAAAATTATATTCATATATATTTTTTTATTGATGTATGTTGATGTATGATTTAATATGTTGATATATATTGATAGATAATGATGTATGTATAATTGTGAATGGATGATGATTTGTGTTTGGGCCATGGATGAAGCTTATAGGTTCATTGAATGTAATTTTATCTTTGGATGAATGTAATTAAGGTTTTGATTTAGCCGTTTGAAAGTTCGATGATGTAATTTATTTTTTCCATTGTATTTCAAGTTGTAAATATTTTTAAAGCCATGTAATATTCATCAAAGGATGCTATGAAGCTTCAAAAAGGTTCAAAATGGTTAAATTATGCTTCAGTAATTTTCTGGAATTTTTTTGAATTTTTTGGAATTTTTCTGGAATTTTTTGAGGCTTAATTTAATTTTCTGGGAATTTTTCTGGAATTTTTGGCGTTTTTCCGGTGGCCGGAGCATCGCTGGCGGCGAGAAGAGGCGTCGGAAGAGGCTGGAATCAGATGTGGTGCATAGAGGGTGAGCCTGGCGCGTGAGGAACACGCGTCAGGAGGTGGCATTTGCATCACATGCTGGCGCGTGCATTGCACGCGCCAGCCAAAGTTGTATTACCTCTACGCGCGTGAAGGAGCGTGGAGGCGCGTCCCACGCGCCCTAAGCGCGTGCCAGCGCGTGGGGGCACGTGCCTTCACCTGCTGCATGTCCCAGGCGCGTGTGGGCCCTTCCGGGCGCGTTCCAAACGCTATTTTGCTTCTCCAGACGCGTACCAACTTCCTACAGGTGTTTACAAGTGGTTGGAGGACGTCCGTACAATACTTAGAGCAATTAAATGTTAAAAGCATAATCCATTGGCCATTTAAATTGCTTCTGTCTATGGTTTATTTATTTTTCTAATGCATGGAATAATTAATTGTTGATAATTATTGTTCATGCATTGGATCCATGATATTTTATTAAATGACTTGATTTATATTTAATTAAATTATGAAAATTAATTGGATTTGATTAATAATTAATTTGAGGGCACTTATTGGGAAACGAAAAATTATTTTTGAAAATTATTTTTAAAAAAATGTGCCTCAAATTAAATATTAGTGAATCATTTAAAGTCCAAATATTTTCTAAATTTAATTGGATTAAAATCAAGACGTTTTGCATGCATTATATCATGTAAATGAATAAAATGAAAACCCTAATTATGAATGATTAAAAATTGAGTGGGAGTGGGGATTTTTATACATTGCCCCATGGCCTTCGTTATTAACACCATTGTAATTAGGTCTTCAAAAATAAAGCCCCACGCATGATTTGAAGAGTCTTAAAATTACAAGAATGGTTATCTCATGAAAATAATAATATTAAATGTTCATTATAATTAAATCTTTAAAAATAAGGCCCTACGCATGATTTAAAGAGTCTAGATTATAATGGCAAGATATTTAATATTTTATTTTTCATTAGAGCATTAATAACGTTACACACTTAATCTAAAATCAATAGTGTTAGCTCCCCAACGGAGTGGTCTATACTAGGTGATTTTAGAAAGGCTAAACATAATCGGAAATCATTTCATATAGATAAACAAGACATTGTCTTAAGAGATATGGAAATGATGGGATTTGCCCGCCAATAGCAATAATGAACTTCGCCAACCGAATAAATTATTGGCGTATTGGTTATCCGATTTTTCATGCAGTGGTTAAGGGACCCACATATTATTATTTTAATGGAAGTGCTCACCTAATAGCAAATGAATCTCTACAATAATAATAATGAACTCCTCCAACTGGATAAGTTATTGACATATTGATTGGTTGATTTATTATGCTACAGAGTTGAGGGACCCGCATTAATTAAAAGGGATTGTTCACCAAGAATGATAATGATCTCTTGTTCGAATGAGATTTATTATATTATGTGGTTAACAAACTCATTTTAATTTTAAATATGCATGACAATATTAATAATTCACCTTACATATTGTATGAATGCATTTATATTCAGATTAATTATGTATAATCCAGTTTATCTGCTTGCTTACATATTCAATGTAACTGGACCTCATTTATAATGACTGGAAAAGGAACTTAGATATTTTATTCACAACGTAAGGGTACAAAATGTATTGAATACTCCTATACCTAATTTCTTTACTTTAAGATACTTAATGAGATGTTTTAGTGAGATTAGATAGGGCGTATGCCTACGTACTATGTCAGACTTGAACAATATCAAGATAGCCTAAGGAACTCCAGTATGAAATCGAATTTTGGAAAATGATTGTTTATTATTTAAAAATTAGCTGGAGATCAAAAGGGCTGACTTGAGTGGTAAGTTTCAAGTTGACATGATTATTGCCTTGTTACCAAACTCATTCGATTCTGTTAGAGTGAACTAAATAAGGAATCAGTTTGAGTTCACACTCGCTGATATTCTTATAGAATTGGTAACAGATGAAGGGATAATCAAGAGTATGGGCGTTCCTATGAATCTAACCTAGTCTATACTATCTTCTTCTAGGCCCAAGTAGATGGGCAAAGCAAAGAAGAAAGATGATAATAGGACTAGGCTAGCACAAAACATAGGTATCTAAAAGGTTAAAGGGAATAAAGCAGTGTATGTTGAGGGCGAATGAAACTGTTTCTTTTGCCACTAACTAAAACACTATAGGACGAACTGTCTAAGCAATGACGTGGCATAGGAAAATAAATATTTAATCATTGAGCCATGTTATGTGGTTGCATCTATTAATTCCTGATGGATAGATTCTGAAGCCACTAAACATGTTTGCAATTCATCGTAAGGATTTCAGGAATCCAGAAGCCTTGATGATATGGATATATATTTATCTTTTGACCTGACGCCAAGGTTGTAATTAGGTCAGTGGGAGTATTACATCTAAAATTAGAGAGTATGAGGATATTAGTATTAGAGAACTATCTTTATACACAGAAGTTAGACGCAATCTAATTTTTGTTTCACTTGTGGTTTATAAAAACTGTGTTGTTATTTTGTAAAACTAGTTTTATAAAATTGAATAGATATGCGATTGCTTCTAGTGCATTGAAAGATGGTTAATATACTATAATCACAAACTCTTAAGATTTGCAGGATGTAGAAACTAATGTTGCATCTTCTAGATTGAATGTTAAGAGAAAAATTGTTATTCCTGACTCATTGTATTTTTAATGTCTATTTTTGGGTTGTTATCAATCAAAATGAGATTCAAAGATTGGTCAAAGAAGGTTAATTACCTAGTGAGGCAGGGGAGCCTAAACCAAACTTGTGAACCCTGTTTTGAAGG